TCAGTAATAAGCTATAACAGGATCACCAAACACAATAAGATCTGTTCAACACTAAAAGTAAATAAACAAACAAATCCCTTCTCTAATAAGTCGGAGCTTAAACTTTTAGATGAAATGATTTGACATAGTAGCAAGCTGAGAAACGTCCTCAATTCAAGTTTTCATCGCCACCATTCATGAAAAACTGTACACGCATCATGCTTTTGATGAAAACTAAATTGTCCTGCACGTGAGAGGACATGTTGAAAACTAAGTTTTAATAAATAAACGTGACCCTTCTCTAAAATCTTAAGCTCTTAAATGAAGTGGTTCAACTAGATAAACCAAGCGTCAAGAAGCTCACCTCAAGATTCATTGGTGTTTAATGTAGAGATAAAGAAATGCTTACCTTAAGATCAACAGAAGTACGATGGGGAGAAGTTGAGAACAAAAGCTTCTTTATACAACTCCATCTTCCAACCCCATATTGGGAAACCCCATCAATCAATTTCCTAACCTCTGATATAGTCCACAATCTATGATGCTTCCTCCGACTGCTAACTTCAGGTTGTCTCACTGCTGTAACACGATCTTCCCTTTTCTTTTGGCTAGCTGCTGAGTCACAATCATCCCTCTTCTTTTGACTCACTGCTGAAACATGATTGTCCCTTTTCTTATGACTCACTTCCGTGACACAATCATCACATTTCTTTTGACTCATTGGTGTAACATGATCTTCCCTTTTCCTCAGGCTTACTGCTGTGACACGATCGTCCCTTTTCTTCTGACTCATTGCTGTGACACAGTCATCTCCTTTCTTTTGATTCACTGTTGTGACTGAGTCATTGTATTTCTTTTCACAAGCTGCAATTACATAGCCACACCTTTTCTTATGACTCACTGATACCCAGATATCTTCTGACTCGTTCACTGAATTCTCATTATCAGAACTAAGTACCTGTTCACATATTGATGCTTCATTATATTGAGTATCAAAAATACAGGAATATTTCATTTAATCGAAAACTAGTATAAAAATGACTTTTACAACAGCTCAAGGATGAAGAAAACTTGAACAAAGAAAACATATAAATCCCCGTTTTCCTTCTCTCCTGTCTGTGATTTAGTTCCTTTTTCCTATTCTTCTATTTGGAGCAAATGAAGGGATGAGTTATAATAGGACGGATTGCTACATAAATTATATATGGCATTTCAAGAACAAGATCAAATTGACTCCTACTTCTTGCCCAATGAACATTTGGTAATCACTACCACAAAGTCATCTTGAATTTTATTGTGTTTATTCACATTCCATAAGAGCCTCTTTGCCATAGGTTTTTTTAAGAATAGATTTTGTGAATTTAGATTATTATTTTTTTGGATAATGTGCGGTTAAAAAGTAGGGAAAAATGAGTTTTAGAAAAACTCTACCAAACGAGACTTAATACTCGTGAATCATAATAGGGTCCAATGGAGTCTGAAAGAGAGTGATTTTTTAGATATTCAAATTAATTACTAATAAAGGACTTGGAATGTAATTCATAGCATAAGAGTGGATTGGACAAAAGGTAAAAGTGCTATAAAAGAAAATTAAAAGGAAAAAAGACCTATGAAGTTAAAAAATAAATTCTATAAAATGGTTATTAGACTAGCTGGGGTTCATGATATTGGGCATTATCGTTAAAGGACATGTCGATAAGATAAATTTAATAGAAACGAAGATATTTAGACATGGTCATACTAAAATGGAGAAAATAAATGAGAATGCACTCCATCCAACAAATGGAGGTGACACCAATTGGATATAAATTAAGGAAATATGATTTAGTAGGTTGGGCAATGTATTGAGTTGACATAAAGAAATTCCTATTCGCAAGAGTGAGAGGTAGATCAAATCATAAAAAGGTTTGGCGTGGTTACAGAAGGTTTGATTTGATAGGATCTTTCAATAGATCTAGCAATATTTGAAAATAATAAAGCATGCAATGAATTCAGAAACACAAAAAAATCCACATGATACAGGTAATCTAGTCCTTGGGGATGTCAGACATTGAAAAAGAGAAGCAAGCAGCAAAAACAATAAATTTTGCAGAAACAATAAGCATTCATGTTAAGTAACAAGGTGATCATGTTTTGCTTCAACTTACCATATTCGATGAATGACTCTTTTGACATTCTTTATGCACTAAAGAACCAAAGGGCACTTGAATAGCAATGACAGAAGACTCCTCAGGGGAAATTCTCGTTCTTGATTCGATATGACATTTCTTGTGATTTTTAACTACTGTAGACTTAGCACTAGGGGCAGACGTAGAAACTTCTTGTCTTTTCTTAGAATATCTAGAAATAGGCTCTGATAATTCATCAATGTATCTCCGTGTAGGCTTACGGGATCTCTTTTGCATAGTAAGGGCAACCTTGTTGGCCGGTTTTGAGATCTTTGCCAATTCATTCTGGTCGTTAAAGCCGTTACTCTCAATAGTTTGACACATCAGCCCAAATTCCTTGTTTTTCCGAATCTTTGAACTGCAGAACAACTCCCCAGATGTAAAATCAGAAGGGAAAAGACTTCCACCATCATCATCAGATGATATACCTTGTGGAGAATGGCTCCGTATATTTTGAGACTCACTAATATTTTGTGTAGTAGATGACGTAGGAAATTTCAAAGGCTTCTTCTCAACAGATGTTTCACTCTCTTGGTGGATACAAATGTCACTTAATTCAGAATTCTGCAAGTTAACCTGGTCATTCTGGCATTCTGGCACATCAGTTATTGCTAATATATCTGAATTCCAAGGAGTGTTAGCATCAGAACTCGACCCCGGAATCGGACTTTCTGACAATGAGATATGCAAGCCTTCACTCAAACCATAATCCAAATTGGTAATACTTTGAGCAAATTCAATACCTGCACCCAATTAAACAGATATTTTTGGTGGATTATCTCACTTGATAACTATAAATTGATTTATCAGAATTACAGTCGAATTTCAAGGAAAAGGATGTCCACCTGAAAAGTAATCTTCACCCATGCTACAGAAATCATTTGACAATTGAAAATATCCAGCTTCAACGTCACTTGGCATTACATCGTCTACCTACATGTGAACCATCCCACTGAGAAGATGATGCCGTTTAGCAAAGTACAAACAAAATTCAAAAAAAACTTGTCAAGCAATCATTTAGTCTTCTAACTATTATCTCTTGAAAGCAACATGTCTTTAGACTTCAATAATAGTCCTCTGAAAACACAGCACCTCATTGCAATGTAAGGAAAATAACGATGTTAATGTCCCAGAAATGGCATTCCAATGGACAAGAATAACTGGAAAGTACAACATTGAGTTTGGGTATGAACATTCAATAATGCATTCAGATACAATCTTGTCCGTAGCTTCCTTTTTTTTTTTTTTTTGCGTGTGCGTGTGTGCGAGAAAGAGAGAGAGAGGTGTTTTAGCAAGATTTGCAACACCTGACAACAAGTATTAAACAAAGGACACTTTGACAAATCACAATTTACAGGGTTATATTTAATGATCAGTTAATGGTTGTTAACCTTAGAACATGAAAAATAAAATTATAATATTACATGAAATTCAACTCAATGATAACATTTCATAGGGTCTATAATCAACCATTTGTAGGGGAAAAAAATAATAATTATGACCTACTTCTTGCTTCGGAACATCTCCCCCTTCCTGAGCAATATCAAAATTTGGTAAAACTGCATGAAGTCATCAAGTTCAATGAGGTGTCAGGTGGCAGCCCATCAAATACACAAACATTTTGGAAATTCAAGGATAATAGCAAATGCACTACATCCAAAGACTGGTCAAAATTAAAAATTGAGTCAGAACAAATATCAATAATTGTATCTTAACCGAAAAAAAAGGGAAGCAGGGAACATTGTATCACCTAATTCCTTCACACTACTAATAAGACAAAGTTGTTAATATTGAAATTGTAAGACAGAAATCAGATTCCCATGACTGCTTCCAGAGTGCAGCATAACAAACAGTCACACTCAGTTACATGAACTATTTTTGTTCCCATAGATGTTCCTAACTGAAGCAGAGACACTTCCTAAATGTTTTGTGCTGGTTGAGAGCATTGCTCAGAAGCAAATGCATTTGTCTGAATGATAAGTGATACTTTCTTCTAAACTAAATGCCAAAGTTAATTTGGTAATGTTACTTAGGTAAGAGTTGAGAGTAAATTTTATGATGATCCAATTCTGTCCTCTGACATCAGGAATAGAGAGATTCTTGGGGCATGTATTACTTTGAGAATGTAAAAAATTAATAAAGAAAGACTGTCTTGATAAGGACAAGTGGGTGGATAAATGAAGAATACTTTTTCATTACCAACTAATAAATTTTTATATCCCTCCAACCACTAATTACCAATTAAGGAGAAAAATGATTCACTTGTTTATTTGGTCTGAAGAGGAGGGCAGGAGTTATACTTCAGGTTTTAGGCTATACCAACACTGCAGGAAACTTCTTCCATTTTCATGGCAATCTCCGGAATCTTTTCATTGAAAGACAAGACACTTTCCATTGAAACATGCTCATCTTGGGGTTCAACAAGCAAACGTTGAACTTCAGTTGTCCCGTCGTCCAATGTCAGAGGCCCATCTTCCATAACACCTGAAATTAGTATTGATAACAACAAAAATGCCCATCATAAGTTCCATTAGTAAGAAAACAGAGTACCCTATTTACGATAAATTAAATGGATCATATGTGCGACCACAAAAAAAATAAGCGATTAGAATAAACAGCAAAATAATCACAAATGAGGGCCATAGAGGAGAAAATTCATTCTCTTCTGCATTAAAAAAAAACAATAGAGACATGTTTCACTGTCAAAGATTAATTCACCAAGATAAAGCTTTAGCAAGTCGGAATTTTATTCAACTAAGTCCACTCAAATTTGTGGCTGAAAGATGGAAAAGAGTAGTAAAAAATTCCTAGCGAAAACTTCGTCTACCTAAAGAAATGTGGAACATACAGTCCCCTTCGTTAATGCACGCTCAATTTAGACAACCTGCAAACAGTTTCATTTAATTGCCGACGAAAATTGAACTTTGGGTCATCACTTATCAAGTATGCTACTCAAAATCTTTTAAGTTTTGGGCAAATCAATTGTTTGCAGCAGAATCGTGATATTAAAGACAAACTTCCCATGTTTATGTACAGGAGAATCTATTCTAGATTTAAAATTGTGCTCGCATTTCCACAGTGAGTTTTTAAGGAGAGGAGAACTTCCATACAAAGAGTTGATTTCTTGCATGACTAGCAAGAGAGTTCTTTATATTTTCTAGTTTTAGAAATAGGATTGAAGATGGGTAATAGGTTCCTAAGTCGAGCAGCTTTCTCAATCAAAGTGTGTGAATAGCCAACCTCATTCAAGGGTTTCTCTAATGAACGACTGTTAAATTCAAATAGTGGTATTTAGTGTCACCGTGATTAATTCTTAACTCTATTAGGGTGCGTTTGATTGCAAGGGTGGAAAATGAGTGGAAAGAAAATATTTTATAGGGAAAAGATTTGCTTAGAAAATATTTTGCAGGGAAAATGATTTCAAGTGTGTTTGATTGGTATAATTTTCCACTCGGAAAATTTTTAAATTTTCTATTCGTTTGGCTTTGTTTTACATGGAAATTGTCCATTAAAGTGATATTTTTTTCCACAATTGATTATAAAATTTGTTTCCATTGCGAAAAAGTAAAAAAAAAAACGAAAAAAAAAATTGTTTCCTAAAAAATCATTTTTTTATCAAAGTTTAGTATTCGTTTGGCCTTCGTTTGTATCAAAATTGTCCATGAAAGTGAATTTTTTTTTTTACACTTGGTCATAAAATTTGTTTCCATTTCCAAAAAAATAAAAAAAAAAGCAGTCAGACCCAGAATTAATTTTCCCACCTAAAAAGGTGGGAAAATTAATTCCTCACATGCAAGGGACCAGGCGCGTAGAGGGAAAAGAGAAGCCAAATTTTCCATGCCAAATTATGTCCATCAAACACCACAATCCATGAAAAGTTGGAAAATGTTTTCTTTTTCCACCCATTTTCCATGCTATCAAACATGGCCTTAGTGCAAACTTCAATACTTGGGTTCTTAAGTAATTTTCAGACATTTGTTACTTTAGATTAAAAAAAAAAAATTGAAAGATTTTTTAGAATATTCCCTTGTCTATCCTCTGCACATCACGACATCATTGAGTTTCTATGAGAATACAATTATATTTTCGAATTAATGCATTAATAGACTCAGGTTGAATAACAAATTGATATCCTTCAGGCCATAGAAGATTTATGTAATTTTTAAGCTCCAGCAATGATCTTTATATAGTTTCCAAGAAACATTCTTCTAAAAGGCCATGTCAATATCTCCAGGTATGGAGCCGGTTGTGTACAATTATTAATTGAACTTGCCGACCAAACATAAAAAAGCAAGTCACAATAAGTACTCTTCTTTTGCAAGGAGAATTTATGAGTGAGCTTATTTCAATGTCACTCAACAAGAAGAAAAGACAAAGAGATATTATATACCCATAATAATACATAACAAGATATGACACTTAAACCTGTATCCTTTACTCATAGAAACCTGTTTGCATATTAACCATCAAGTATCAGATTCTCCATTAGCAAGTATTAATTTCGAAGTGCATTTTTAAACTGAACCGCTGATTCAATAATTCATAAATATTTAAACTATTCAACCCAGATATCATGCATTATTCCCACATTTTTCTCTCAAAATTATTTTTCCTAAAATGTATTTAAACTCAGTCATCATATTCCAATATCTCTTTTCTAAAATAATAATCCCCCGTCAAAGCGTAATCTGTAAAGGTCTCTGATCTTACATTGATTACCTTAATATACCGATTAACATGGAAACATAACATCAAATAGCTTACCATCCTTAAACTACCCAAGCCCCAAAATTAAAAACAGAAAAGGACAATAAACAATCGGTAAACATTTAACCATAAAAATAAATCATTTAACGACATTACAAGCAAATAAATGTAATGTCCAGAAATACACGACAAAATGAGAAACTTAAGAATACGTAATTACTGACCTCAAAACTTCAATTTCCTCAGCGATGTTAGAGAGAGAAAGGGGAATCGACCAAAGAGTAGAGGGAAAGTGAGGAATAAGAACGACAAGTTTCACACAGTGTGGAAAAGTAGGTACCGTACTACATTAATTGAACGGAATTGAAAGGGATATTAACAAATCGTAATGGAATCTGAGTTTGGCGTCCGCCGTGGCGATGCGTAATTAGTTTGTGACGACGACGCTATAAGCACTCACTTTCGTTCCTGCTGACGTCCTAGGTGGATTTAGTTCTTCCTGATGATGTCCTATGTAAATAGATGTGTTAGATCCATTGTCATGCTACATCTAAATCTTTTTTTACATGATGCCACGTGAAGACAAATAATTGGATAGTTTTTAAAAAAAAACATTTTTCCGTCCAACACTTTCCGAACTCCAATAGAATGTAAACAAAGACGTCAACCCCACAATATACATTGTAGAAATTACAGTCTACCAAAATTTTAAATTTCTCATTTCAAAATTCAAATTTACAAATTTTTATTTCAAAAAAAAAATAAAAAATAATACATATATATATCCTACCCAACTATGCGCACCAAAACCCTAATTATTTTGTTTGTATTTGACACTCATTTTAAGGAAGAATTTGATTTGGAATAGTGATTGATGGAAGAATGTGTGTTTAAAAAGTAAGGAGAATTTTTGAATTTATGTGTAATATTATTTTATTGATAGAATGTGTGATTGAAATGAAGAATGAAAAAAAAAAGAGAAAAAAATGGATGTCAAACAAGGGCACTCCATTTTTTTTTTTCCATTATCTTTTTCATTTTTTTCTCATTCTTCATTTCAATCACACATTCTATCAATAAAATAATATTATACATAAATCCAGAAATTCTCTTTACTTTTCAATCAATCACTATTCCAAATCAAATTTTTCCATAAAATGGGTGTCAAACAAAGGCTTTATCTCACCTTCTCTCAAGCCATCCGTCGTCGCCGCCGCCACCACAACCCCGTCGACACCACCTCACCACAACCAACACACTCACAAAAAAAATCCCCAAACCTGCAATAGCAACCGTCGCCTCCGATAACATCATCACAGCAAATCCATCATCTCCACCTCAACCATGAACGCTACACCAAACAGATCAAGAGAAACGAATGAGATGGGGAAAACAGAAACATATTGTCACGCATCTTCGACGACGCAACGACTTACAACGTCAATGATGCTGGGATCTGCTAAAATTTGTGGGGAAATGACGGAACGCTAAAGGCCACACAGCGACTCACAGCGTCGATGATGCCGGGATTTGGGAAAAATTGTGGGAAAATGATGGGATCTAATACAGCGATGAACGACGACAGTGCAGTAACATCGTGAGGTGGTGGCGATTTTCATAAGGTTGTGGCACTGCTCATCATCTTTTGCGATATATAAAGTCCACTCCAGGCCAAGGACTTTTGTTTTCTGCATAATGTTCTTTCTAGTTAAAGGCCTTTGCGGATGCAGATTGGACGTCTTGCCTCGATTCACAAAAATCAGTTACAGGATTTTGTGTGTTTTTTGGAGACTCTTTGGTTTCATGGAAAGCTAAGAAACAAACCACTTTGTCCAGGTCCTCAGTTGAGGCAGAGTATCGCTCTGTTCTAAAAAGCTCGCCTAGGCGCCGCCTAGACTTGAAGCTTGATGAAAACGCCTCGTTTTGAGGTTAAGCGATAATTAAGCGGTCAACGGCAATGTTGATCGCTCGTTGACCGCTTAAAGCGCGCCTAGGGGCCTTATGCGGCTAGCGCACTTTCGCCTTGGAGGCCCAATTTCCCCCCCCCCCCCTTTTTAAATATAACCCACAGCAATTAAGATAATTATCAAGTAGTGAAGTTATACAACTCAGAATAGAAGTGTTTTGCATTTATCAATTATTCAATAGTGAAAATGGGCAAACGTAATCTAGGCTTTTGCAATTAAGAAGTCGTCTGAAACTGTAATCTGAGCTTCTGTAATTAATCGAAAATCATTTGTTGTGAATTTTTATTTTGTATATACATATGACATATCAGTTTCAGACTTAGAGAGAGTCAATTGTAATTTGTAGCCCTCAGTATCGTGCATTAGCATCTATGACTGGTGAACTTGTTCGGCTTAATCAATTGCTCCATGATTTTCAAGTCTCAACAACTGATCCTGCTTTAATTTTTTGTGATAATCAGGCTGCCATTTACATTGTTTCTAACCTAATTTTTCATGAACGTACTAAGCATATAGATATTGATTGTCATTTCGTTTGAGACAAAGTCACTGATAGTTTCATTAAGCTGCTTTATATTCGTTCCAAACATGAGCTTGTTGATGTTTTCACGAAGGCGCTGCTGGCTTCCTTCTTATTTCCCTTACTATCCAAGATGGCTATCATCAACCTCCATTGTCCATCTTGAGGGGGAGTAACATAACTTGGTTTACAGATATAACA